CCTCTCCTCTCTGCTGCTGGCCTCGAGTGCCTGTCTCGCTACCAGTCTGGGGGTCCTGCTCTGGGCTCAACCCCTTGCCTAAAGCCCTCCAGCAGCCCCCAACTTGTCCCAACAGGTTCCAGGGCTGTGTGTGAGTGGTATAAATCAGATACACGGCACTCGAGCCATGGGTTATTTGAGATAACGGCGGTTTGCACCACAGTGTTTCCGTGGCCTCCGTAGCATCTTCCCTCCCAGGGAGGGTGGGGGTCCTGGGTATGGCTTTGCATCACCACCTAACCCATAGCCAGAAGGCTGTGTATCCCCAGCTCAGAAGGTCTATGCAATTGGGAGGCAGCATCTTGCATAGAAGGCAGTGGGCCAGGGTCACTTGTCAAAGGAAGATGCCCAGTTGCTTCCGTCCGGCTCTGCGGATGGACCGCTTCCCCCACCATGCACCAGTGCAAATAAAAGGCATGCTGAAATCTGCTGAAAAAACAAAACTGGGAGGAAAAAGTTGTACATGCCATGCTCCCGCCCTGGCTCTCTCCCACATGCGGCTGCAAGTTCCACCAGGTTGGAGTTTAAAGAGTCTCAGCAGAGGCAGCTGTTTGGGCCTTCCAACATTGGGGTTCGGTTGGGTTTCCCAAGGGAGGCAGCTAGGATGGACCCCCACCTCACACTCCTCTGCTCTGTAAGGACCTGCCTAGGATTGCTGCAGGGAGGAATGCTACCAAAAACGGGCCACCCCAGGCAGCAACCTGGGCTAGTGGAAGGTGTCCCTGCCCATGGCAGGGGGGTTGGAACTCGATGATCTTTAAGGTCCTTTCCAACCCAAACCGTTCTGTGATTCCATGACACCTGGAGCCCTCTGCCAGGCTGAGATATCTGGGCTGGGTCTCCCTCTCTCTGCACATCCAGGATATATCCAGAAATACATCTCTCGGGGATTCTGGGCTTAGCCACCTCTTCTTCCCCTTGTGCTAGGCTTCCGACCTGCAGTGACACGTTCAGGATGGTTCATGGACCAGGGCAACCTTGCAAGAGCAAAGGCATTGACCCTTCCAGCTGGGCTGGGAGGATGCTGCTGGAGAAGAACCTGTGTCAGCCTGGGAGAGGGCACTGCCGAAAAAATAAGCACTCTCTGCAGGATCTTGGCCTGTTCCCTACCCATGTGCTCAGAGCAGCAGGGAAAGGGAAGAAGAAGATATCTCCTCTTCTCAGGGGGTACCGGCTGGTTTGGAAGCAGACCCCTGGCCAAAGAGGCCCCACCAAGATGAGTCCTGACGTTTCGGATGTGAGCTAGAGTTGGTGACAACCCACAATAGGATGCAGGCACAGAACAGGCTGGGCAAGCCATCCCCTGTGAGACCAGAAACACCTAAACAGCTTGGAAAGAGGATGGATAATATAATGGATAATAATAATGGAGAATATTAAGTGGGATGATCAAGAGGAAATATCCAGACTCGCGGAGTCTGAAGGGGAGAAGATGATTTCAAAATCTTCATGTGCAAACTTAGTGCGAAAAAGGAAACAAGACACTGGCCTTCCACCACCCGCCCTTCCTGGCAGGGGGGATTTTAGCATAAGACACTGTCTTTCAGTGCAATGGAGGAGGAACAGATTCCCATGAAGGGAAGAGTTTCCATCAGAAGGACCACATGAGAACTGTGCTGTTCACACTTTGCTGCTTCTCAGAGCAGAGAACTTAAAGCGCTTTGAGCAGCACAGCAGTGCCCAGAAACCACATACCCGTGGAGTGAAGCACAGGAAGGCACGTGGAAAAACATCCATCTGAACAGGATGGCTCCCAAGAGCTGGTCCCAGCACAGGCACATGCTTGTTGGGACAGCTGGCCATCTGTCCTGTTCTGGATGGAGATGTGCCCTATGGTGAGGGCACAGGGTGGCCTATCAAACCACCAGGCACTAATGGCTCAGTCCTGGTGCTCTGAGAGAACTCTGTTAGTGATAGGGGACGGAAATCTGGAGGACTGTGCCATACCAGGCTGTTAGGAAGAGACCATCAGAACAGCAAGTGACTTGAGAGTAGATTCAGGAATAGATGTCCACAGGGACACAAATGTCTGTGGAGCATTCACCTGCCCCACGACCATCTCAAAGGCCACTCTTAGAGGGCAAAAATGATGCCTTTGCTAATTTTTGCATGACTGCTAGAAACAGAGGGGGTGAAGACAGGCAGAGATAGCCCCAAGGAGTGGAGCAGGCTGCCAGGATGCAGTCCCAGCAAGACTTACTTACAAGACCTGCTCTCCCCAGCATAAGGACAGACCTTGATGGACTTCCACGGGAAACCTTCCTGTATTGATGTCCCTTTGTCAGCCTGCCTGCGGATGGTCTAGCAGGTATGCTTCCATAACATGCTGCACCACTATGCTGCGTCCTGAACTTGCCCAAGTACTATCTCTTCTAGAGCAGGCTGTTCACCACTCTATCAACACGTTGGCATTTGTTTTTGCAAGCCATCATGGTTGCATCGCCTGCCAGGGCAGGAGTGGGGACTCCAGGAAGGGGAACCTGTGCACTGTGGGGTGCAGGGCAAGCTCACCAAACTCAAAGGTGAGCAAGTTGAGTTGGCATTTTGGCATCTGGACTATGGTAGCAAGATGCAATGACCACGGGTGTTTTCTTTCTTCATCAGTTGCCTTTTGGGAGCTGTTCCAGAAGAAAGTCTGGACTCTGCAGAGCTCCTCTTCCCAGGAAGCACTACGGGTACCCTTCTGAGCACCAGGTGATCCAGCTTAGGAGAGCAGTGTTTGCCACTGAAGCCCTCATGGCAATCAAGAAAGACTAGAAATGCCTCCTGAAGGTGTCTTCTGTCTGCAGGGACCTGAGCAAGGCCACCATACTTTGCCAGGGATGCAACACAGGAGAAAGACTGCAAGGAGCTCCTCCTCGAGCAGATAAGCCGTCTGAGATTCTTGCAAGAAATCTGTCCTTAAATACCTCTTCATAAATGAAATGACTGAGCATCCAGGCCTTGTCTTGCTTGCTCTGCTTTACTTCTGTCAGTCTTCTTCAAGATTTCAAAGGTATGCATCATCCCCATGACCAGCTGTGGAGGGTGACAGACCCGTTCTGGGGATGGTGGCTGTAAGAAGCATTTCTGATGCTGCAAGAAGGATGTGGTGGCTACACCATGCCTCACCAAGGAACCTCTTCCCTCTGCAGACCCAAGATCAAGAGCCAGGGGTATCTAAGCTTCCCTTGTACATCTCCTCAGATGCTGTGAGGGGTGCAGAGGGAAGAGCAAGCTCTGCCGTTCATCCTTTCAAGCCATGGACACAGACACAGGCGTCATGGCACTTTGGAGATGGCAGGCGCAACATTTTGCTCAACTGTCGCTCCAAAATAAAATTTTTAAAAAATGTGTAGGTCAGAGAGACACGAGGAGGCCAGATCACTGTCATGGACTCGTGTCCAGCAGCTGGGAGTTGGCTCAAGCAGAGGGAAAGGAGCTGTTTAGCTCCAGAGATGTGCCCAGGTGTCACCACCTCCCAGGCAGGTCCGGCAAGCCAAGGGCAAGACTAGCAAGAGTCCTACTCCCCAGAGACACGGTCGTGTGTCCTCCAAGTGCTACCCTGGAGGAACAGCACGGTATCCTCCAGGGAGTGGGGTCACTCTGGCCTCCCCCTCCTCCCCCTAGTCCTCACTCTCCAGAACAACAGCAAAGTCCCCAACATCCTCCTGCCTCTGCTCCCACACTCCCCACCCCAAACCACATCTGATCCCCCCCAAAAAACTCCTGCTCCCACTTGAGGCCACTTTGAGAAGCCAAGCAGGGATGGTGGCATCTGGCCCGCCAAACTTTTGGGGCTCTCTGTGCCAACGGAGCCAGGGCACAGGGCTGTCTGGGGAAGGCAATCTGTTGAAACCCACCCTGGGAGGCTCTGAGCCCCCCATGGCCCCACTCATGCTTCCCCTCGAGGGGGACAGCTGCTGGCTCTGGGAGGCGGTGGACCTCTTTAAACTCGAAGGAAAGCAACGTCAGGGTTCCCTGGGGAGGCACGGTGGTGGTGGAGCAGGAGAGGGGGAAGGAAGGGTGGATGGTGCGTCCCGTGGCCAGGTTTGTGGCGGAGGACTGGGAGGCAAACCTTGCACGCCACCCTGTAGGGGCAGTTCTCTCCTAGGCCCAGAGGAGGCGAGATCACCCGTACTAATTTGTACATATCCTTATACGAGATCCTGCCGCTGCAAAGGAAGCACAGGTGGGTTAATAGGAGACTGAGAGGGTGGAGGGGAGGATGGAGAGCTTAACTGGGGGATTGCTGGGGCTATCTACGGGGCAAGACCCCCAGGTGCATGGTTCTTCTCCTTCTGGCTCTGTCAGACCCAGAGAGGGGAAAGCTGTGAGCATCAGCTCCTGCCTTCTCCACCATGAGTCAGCTCACACCTCCTCATACTGACCCATGCGGATCCTGGAGAAGGATGGTTTTGGCAGTGGACACCACCCCATCACACCAGCCTGCCCTCGCACGGCCAACTCTCTGGTTCTCATGAGGTCCCAGGGAGGTTGGCAGCTGAGTCACTTGTATCTCCAATATCTGGGGAACCTGAGACGGGGAGAGATAATGTGACCAGCTGGTGACTGGTGGCTGTGGCACTAGCATTTAGGTCTCTCGTGGTCCTGTCCTGTGCTCCGACCACCAGACCACGCTCTGCCAAGGGTACACATTACTAGAAGCAGACCTTCCTGTATGCACACCCTTTCTCACCCACAGAAGCACATCTCCCCAGACCCAGGTGCAGTCAGCACAGGATACGGCCCGTATCCCTCCTGCACCGGCTGAAATAACGAAGCAGTTGAGGAAGAGAGCTGGCAGGAAAGGGTGTGGGGGCTGTGGGATGCTGAGCTCCCCACTCTGCTCCAGAGCAGAGCACTTCGGGAAGGCGAAGCGTGCAGGGTGGAAGTGCTGAGGTGCAGCATGCTGCAGCCTCCTGAGCATCCTTAGACAAGCTTGGAGGGAAACCGCATCAGGAGGCAAAGATCAGCATTACCATCCTACCCTGTGCCCTTGCTTCCGGTTTCTCCTTGCTCTTCTCCCACCCCTTCTCCATTGCTTGCCAGAGCTAACCCAACCATCTGGGCAAAACCCATCCCTGAGCCCCCTTGGTGTTGGGTGGTCTCCTCGCAAGACCTTCATGTGATGGTCCCGGCGTCAGGATGCAGAACTGCTGCCCCACTCGGGTGGTGGGACCCGTTCAGGTATACTCACCCACTCCTCACCCAGTGATGGGGGCCAGGGCTGCCCCCACAGGCCCAGCACCACTGGCTCCCGGGCACATCCCCTAACCACTGGCTGCTTATCATGATGGAAGAGCATGGCTTGCTCAGAAATCAGAGGGCTGCAGGGCATCGATAGCTCAGGCATGCTTTTACAGTGACTCTCCTGGAGACCCACGCCACCAAGGTGGGGGGTGAGACTGAATTAAGTGCCTGGTGTGAAGAAATCCTTCCCAAAAGCCATGGGTGAGACACCCCACGCTGAGCAGCTGGGTGTTTCACTGCTCTCACCTCCTCTCCCTTCTCCAGTTCTCCATCTAGTCACCCCTGCTGACCTCTCCCCCTGGCACAAGGCATATTCACCAGCAAACCCACTTGCCCATGGGGGCCTTGCACAGAGTGCTGGAGGAGGCCATGCAGGGAGGAACCTGGCCAGCACCGAGCTGCACAGGGTTGGACAGAAATGGTGGAGGAAACTATGCCAGGAGCTGATGATATCAGGCATAAAAAAAATTTATCTTGGCCGGAGCTGGTCTCTCGAGGGGCAGAACATTAGCAGTGGGGGCAAAAGGTCTGCAAAGTGAATGTGTTTGGCTGCCGGGGGCTCTCAAGCTAAGATTGCCCACACTCCCCGGCACAGCGGTGGTGGGTCAGGGCTCCAGAGGCTTTCCTGGGCCTACAGGAGGGAGGAAGGGGCCACACAAGCCTTCATGGTGCTGGTGCTGAGCGGAGGGCAAGCACGCTCCCCCAGAGCTGCTGAGGGCTGGACACTGCCCTGGGGATGCTCCAGACCAACCTGGGAGGAGTGGTGGAGAGCAGAGCCAAAGCCTGGCCACCCAGGGTCCGTACAGCCGCTGGGAACCCGTCCCATTGCTGGGAACAGGCTGCTGCCAGCAAACAGGAGCCCTGTTTGCTGGGGTCCCTGTCAGCAAGGGTGTGAGTGCAGGAAACAAAGTCCTCCCATCCCTAGAGGGCTGAACGGACTGGCCAGCATAGGAACACAATTCCCCAAACCCACACACTCCAAACCAGGTCCTCCATAGGTGACTTGGCAGGAGCCCAGCAGACCCCCAGCATCTCCCCTAGGCTCAGGCTCAGCTCTGCTCTGATGGGGAGCCGGGGATGCCGGGGACCAGACGATGGAGCTGGTCTCAGGGCAGAGGCACCCAGCTGGTGCACAGGGACAGGGAAGGAGGCTGAGAGAGAACTGCTCACTGGCCAGGGAGGAGAGGAAGAGCAAGAACCTCCAGCTCTCAGGATAAACACTGTGACAAACTGTGAACATCACCCAAGACGCCGGTGCCACCAGGCGCTGCTGCCCATGTAACAACCACGGGTGAGAGCAGCCCTTCCCTGACCGTCCGAGGCATCACAGTGGGTTTCCAATAGTAAAACACAGAGACGCCCATTTAAAACCAATTCTGAGAGATTGCTTGGGAGAGAAGGAGCTGGCTACATACCATGCTGCTCTGTCATACTCTGCCCAGATCCGGACAAACTCATCTAGATGGTGAGGTCCCAGGATGGAGGAATCCCGAGTCAGGTATTCAAAATTGTCCATGATGACCGCCACGAACAGGTTGAGCATCTAAGGGAAAGGAAAAAAGGCAGAGAGAAAGGAAAGTGGGGGGAGACAAAGCAGAGAAGGGAAGGGAGAGAGAAGGAAGAGTAATGTGAAAGGGGTGCTGACATGAAGCTGGGATGATCCCAAGGGAGGTGGAAGTTGGGATGTCCGTCAGCTACAGATGGGTTGGTGGAGGAGTGGGGGAGGCTCGGGATCATGACTGAGAGTTGGGGTTGTTCAGCCTGGAGAAGGCTCCGACGAGACCTTCCAGCACGTTTCAGTGATGAAAGGGGGACACAGGAGAGATGGGGGGGCTCTTCATCAGGTGCAGGGACAGGATGAGGGGGAATGGTTTTAAGACGAAAGAGGGGAGATTTAGATGAGATATTAGGAAGAAATGTTTTCCAGTGCAGGTGGTGAGGCAGTGGCCCAGGTTGCCCAGAGAAGCTGTGGATGGCCCATCCCTGGAGGGGTTCAAGGCCAGGCTGGATGAGGCTTTGGGCAACCTGGGCTGGTGGGAGGTGTCCCTGCCCATGGCAGGGGGGTGGAACTGGATGATCTCTAAGGTCCCTTCCAACCCCAACCATTCTGAGATTCTGCGTAATCATGGGAAGATGACGGAAGATGACTCTATGGCTGGGTGCAGGTTGGGGGGGATGATGAGGGGGACCCCCAGGGCCCTCTAGGTGGGAGGAACTCACCAGGAAAGAGCAGAAGAAAATGAAGGAGACGAAGTAAACATAGGCCAGGTCAGTGCCACAGCGCTCATTCTCATTCTGCCCGGACGTGGCCGTTGTGTCCGGCTCGCAGCCTTTGCCCTCCAGGCAGGACAGCATGATCTCCTGCCATGCCTCTCCCGTGGCACTCCTGCGCCCAACACAGCCGCGCTCAGCACCTTGCGGTGGCACAGGATGAAGCTGGGGCAGGATGCCCCCAGGAGAAACCTCACAAGAAGCTGTGCAACCCCCCCTCGCCCAAATTAAACACATCTCCGGTGTGCAGAGGAGCGAGGCGCCAGGTCAGCAGTGACCGAGCTGGACCCACGCGAGCACAGTTACACCAGGGTGTGGGTCCTGGCACTTGGGGCTAGCTCCCTCCAGCCAGCCGGTCCAAAAAGCTGGTTGACATCCAAAAAAAGATGTTCCTGAGCTCTTGCAGCCATGGCGCTGATCTCTAGCAGCAAAAGCTGACCTCCACCAAACAGCCCCCAGTGAGAACCTGCCCAGCCCAGCTCCTGGCATGCCTGCACCCCAAAAACCCTGCCAAAGGAATTTTCTATGGTTGCTCACCTGAAGAGGAGCATGAGGGATCCCAGGAAGCTGCGGAAGTTGTTGTGTCGGTTAATATGGCTTTCCTCATCTAGTTTGATATTGCCAAAAACCTACAAGAGGCAAAAAAAGGGCTCAGCTCTTCAGGCAAGAGCTCATCGGCCGGGGAAGCAGCTGCACATTCACCCTTGCTGCAGGGACCCATCCTGCCCCAGGACCATCACCCTGGGTGGGTGCTGGGTCCTCGTCCTGGAAACTCCCAGGAACTTCTCTCTTGGTGGGGAAACGGTCTGTGATGCTGGGGCTGGGCACAGCGGTGCAAACAGGGTGGGTAAAGGCTTGGTGACAGAGGGACAGACCGACTGCTGACCCACCGTGGACAGCCAGACACCCGGGACTGCCGTCCCCAGGGCCAAAAGAGGCAACAAAGCCCCAAACATGGACAACATCCTAACAATGACCCCCAGCCAAGGCCACAGTAAGACATAAGGAATGCTCGTAAAGTGCCTCAAATAGGAAAAATGTGCTGTTATTACTGTTAAATATTTATTCCACTTTCCATCAACCTAAAAATACACTAATCACAGAGTATTTTTTTCCCTGTACAGGTTTTTTGGAATGTGTAATTGTAGAATATTTTCTGCCTCCAGCTATTTTGCTCAAATACCGCCCACAGACTTTACTGCTTGGGGATTTGTTCACAATGGTGTTAAAAAAAAATAATAAAGTAAATCAAATACTACCACACGGGAGGGAGGGGGGGCTGAGCCAGATGGCAGTTGTTTAGCGCTGAGAACACCTGGAGCTGGTGCCGAGATGTGTAGGACAGAGCAGCCAAAAGCAGCCATGCGACTTTTGGGGGGGGAAGAAAGGGTGGAAGAGACTAAACACCAGCGCTGCCAAGCAGCTCGAGTGGGGGGCCACTGCGCTGCCTTGGTGCCCCCCCCAAAATCTGCCCGTCCTGGCAGCACACGTTGGGTACTGTGCCGGCTCCAGATCCCGAGTGCTCATCATCGAAGATGCTTTGTCAGATCCTCAGCGTGGGATTTAGTCACCGCAGAACTGAGCCAGCCTGGTGGCACGTGCGGAGCCGAGGGGTTTAGCTCACGTGCTGCATATTTACCAGCTGGAGCCTTGAAAGCTCATGTCTTCCCATGCTCTGCAGCCCTCCCACCATCTGGGAGGTCATGGCAGGGCCCTAAGCGCAAGAGCCCCAGCAGACCATCAGACCATCCCTCCGCAAAGGGACAAGAGGGATGGCACACTGCAGGTGTCACCGCCATGATCCAGCCGTTTGGATGGGAAAGGCACAAGGCTGCTCAACCAGGTTCCTCAGGCATGGCCTCTTCTCTAAAGTAACAAGTGATAGGACAAGAGGAAATGTCCTCAAGTTGCGCCAGGGAAGGTTTAGGCTGGATATTAGAAAAAAATTTCTTCACTGA